TATATGCATATAGGGAAAATCAATGACCCCCTGGGGCGGGCCAATTTTGACCCAAGGGCTTTTATTTGAACAAACTGTGTATACACTCACTAGAAGTAGTTTCATGCTTAATATCTTAACTCTAGCTATATTGGTTTTTTCAAAGAAGATTTTTTTAAGTTTTTGCTATAACAGTGTACAATATGAAAGAGGAATGTCCAATCATTCCTGTTTATTATGGCTCTTTTGGTCATTTTTAGTGGTTAAACTGGTACATAAAAATCAAGGCAAATTTATATAAATGGACAATTCTTTATAAAATCATTGAAATATCAAAAGCATTTTTATTAACAGATCAAATATTTACATACACAATTCACATTTCTAAATTAACTTCTTATATATCTAACACTTCTTGGCCACAATTATTCTGCTACAACATAATGTTCGGTGCCCGAACATTTTGTGAAATGAAAAATAAATGAATTACTTCATTGACCAGACTAAATCATCAAATCAAAGTTTTAACTAAAAATGTTAGGGCACCGAACAATTTCCAAATTAAAACAAAGATTAACTGACAATAAACCGAAGCATTAAATACAAGATTTCATTCAAAATGTTAGGGCACCGAACATTTTGCAAATTAAAAAAAGATTTACTAAAGATGGACGCAAGTGTTTAGTCAATGTTTTAACTAAAAATGTTAGGGCACCGAACAATTTCCAAATTAAAACAATGATTTACTGACAATAGACCGAAGCATTAAATACAAGTTTTCATTCAAAATGTTCGGGCACCGAACAATTTACAAATTAAATTTTTTTTTTTACTGAAAATGGACTTATAATAAGTGTTAAATCAATGTTTTAACTAAAAATGTTAGGGCACCGAACAATTTCCAAATTATAGAAAAGATTAACTGACGATAGACCGAAGCATTAAATACAAGTTTTCATTCAAAATGTTCGGGCACCGAACAATTTTCAAATTAAAAAAATATTTACTGACGATAGACTTAAGTGTTAAATCAATGTTTTAACTAAAAATGTTCGGGCACCGAACAATTTCCAAAATAAAACAAAGATTAACTGACAATAGACCGAAGCATTAAATACAAGTTTTCATTCAAAATGTTCGGGCACCGAACAATTTTCAAAATAAAAAAAAGATTTACTGACGATGGGCTTCAGTGTTGAATCAATGGTTAACTAAAAATGTTAGGGCACCGAACAATTTCCAAAATAAAACAAAGATTAACTGACAATAGACCGAAGCATTAAATACAAGTTTTCATTCAAAATGTTCGGGCACCGAACAATTTCCAAAATAAAAAAAAAGATTTACTGACGATGGGCTTAAGTGTTGAATCAATGTTTTAACTAAAAATGTTAGGGCACCGAACAATTTCCAAATTAAAACAAAGATTTACTGACAATAGACCGAAGCATTAAATACAAGTTTTCATTCAAAATGTTCGGGCACCGAACAATTTCCAAAATAAAAAAAGATTTACCAACGATGGGCTTAAGTGTTGAATCAATGTTTTAACTAAAAATGTTAGGGCACCGAACAATTTCCAAATGAAAACAAAGGTTAACTGACAATAGACCAAATCATTTTTAAAAATGTTAGGGCACCGAACATTTTGCAAAATTAAAAAAAAATGACTTTGAAAAAAATCATTTTTCAGCACTTTTGCCAAATTATTAAGGAGAAAAGCAACAAAAAGAAATGAATTATTATATGACTAGACAAAAGCATTAAATCAGTGATTTAATTCAAAATGTTTGGACGTAAAACAATTTCCAAATTTAAACAAGAGGGCCATGATGGCCCTGAGGTCGCTCACCTGTATATAGCCCCCGTCCCCGGCCCAATTTTTACCCAAGGGCTTTTATTTGTTTATTTGAACAGACTTGGTAGACACCCATAAGAAGATGTTTCATGCAAAACATCTAAGTTCTAGCTCATTGGGTTTTTTAAAAGAAGATTTTTTTAAGTTTTCACTATACACATATAGTTAAAAAAAATGACATCCCTCGGGCAGGGCCAGTTTTGACCCCTGGGCTTTTATTTGAACAAACTTTGTAGATATTTACTTAAAGATGTTTCATGCTTAATATCTAAAACTCTAGTTATTTGGGTTTTTTCAAAGAAGATTTTTAAGTTTTTGCTATGTATATAAGGAAAATCAATGACCCCCGGGGCGGGGCCAGTTTTGACCCCAGGGCTTTTATTTGAACATACTTGGTAGACACCCATTAGAACATGTCTCATGCTAAATATCTTAGCTCTAGCTCTTTGGGTTCTTTAAAAGAAGATTTTTTAAGTTTTTACTATATGCATATAGGGAAATTCAATGACCCCCTGGGGCGGGGCCAATTTTTGACCCCAGGGCTTTTATTTGAACAAACCTTGGTAGACATTCACTAGAAGATGTTTCATGCCAAATATCTAAGCTCTAGCTCTTACGGTTCTTTAAAAGAAGATTTTTTTAAGTTTTTTACTAATATGCATATAGGGAAAATCAATGACCCCCTGGGGCGGGGCCAATTTTGACCCCAGGGCTTTTATTAAAACAAACTTGGTAGACATTCACTAGAAGATGTTTCATGCCAAATATCTTAGCTCTAGCTCTTTGGGTTCTTTAAAAGAAGATTTTTTAAGTTTTTACTTTATGCATATAGGGAAAATCAATGACCCCCTGGGGCGGGGCCAATTTGGACCCCAGGGCTTTTATTTGAACATACTTGGTAGACATTCACTAGAAGATGTTTCATGCCAAATATCTAAGCTCTAGCTCTTACAGTTCTTTAAAAGAAGATTTTTTAAGTTTTTACTATATGCATTTAGGAAAAATCAATGACCCCCTGGGGCGGGGCCAATTTTGACCCCAGGGCTTTTATTTGAACAAACTTGGTAGACATTCACTAGAAGATGTTTTATGCCAAATATCTAAGCTCTAGCTCTTCTGGTTCTTTAAAAGAAGATTTTTTACGTTTTTACTATAGGCATATAGGGAAAATCAATTACCCCCCAGGGCGGGGCCAATTTTGACCCCAGGGCTTTTATTTGAACAAACTTGGTAGACATTCACTAGAAGATGTTTCATGCCAAATATCTAGCTCTAGCTTTTTGGGTTCTTTAAAAGAAGATTTTTTAAGTTTTTTACTATATGCATATAGGGAAAATCAATGACCCCCGGGGCGGGGCCAATTTTGACCCCAGGGCTTTTATTTGAACAAACTTGGTAGACACTCACTAGAAGATGTTCCATGCCAAATATCTTAGCTCTAGCTCTTACAGTTCTTTAATAGAAGATTTTTTAAGTTTTTACTATATGCATATAGGGAAAATCAATGACCCCCCGGGGCGGGGCCAATTTTGACCCCAGGGCTTTTATTTGAACAAACTTGGTAGACACTCATTAGAAGATGTTTCATGCCAAATATCTAAGCTCTAGCTCTTAGGGTTGTTTAAAAGAAGATATTTAAAGATTTTTCTTTCGGTTGCCATGGCAACCAGAGTTCTGCATGGAATTAAATTCTTTGAACAATTTTTAAAGGTGACCACCAAAGGAACAATCCTGTGAAGTTTGGATGAAATTGGCTCAGTGGTTTATGAGGAGATGTCATTTAAAGCAAAAGTTTACGGACGGACGACGGACGGACGACGGACGCCGGACGAAAAGCGATCACAAAAGCTCACCCTGTCACTTTGTGACAGGTGAGCTAAAAAAAAGATTCACTGACAATAAATTGAAGCATTAAATACAAGTTTTCATTCAAGATGTTACAGCACAGAACATTTTACAAATTAAAACAAGAGCACCGCTAGACGGAGCATTATATGCCCGAAAGTATTTTTTTTTTTAGTAAGGATGACCTTAACCGTTGACCTTTTGACCCCAAAATCAATAGGGGTCTTCTACCCAATATGGACAATCATCCTATGAAGTTTGAACATTGTGGGCCAAATGGAACTTAACATATGCTCTGGCAACTGTTTTCAGTATCAAGGAAATAGTGACCTTCACCTTTGACCTTTTGACCCCAAAATTAACAGGGGTCTTCTACCCAATATGGACAATCATCCTATGAAGTTTGAATATTGTGGGTCAAAAAGAACTTAAGTTATGCGTGGAAACATATTTTTCAGTATCAATGTAATAGTGACCTTGACCTTTGACCTTGTGACCCCAAAATCAATAGGGGTCTTCTACCTAATATGGACAATCATCCTATGAAGTTTGAACATTGTGGGTCGAATGGAACTTAAGTTATCCTCTGGAAACTGTTTTCAGTTATAAGGTTATAGTGACCTTGACCTTTGACCTTTTGACCCCAAAATCAATAGGGTTCTTCTACCCAATATGGACAATCATCCTATGTAGTTTGAACATTGTGGGCCAATTGGAAATTAAGTTATGCTCCGGAAACTGTTTTCGGTATCAAGGTCATAGTGACCTTGACCTTTGACCTTGTGACCCCAAAATCAATAGGAATCTTCTACCCAATATGGACAATCATCCTATGAAGTTTGAACATTGTGGGCCAATTGGAACTTAAGTTATGCTCCGGAAACTGTTTTCAGTATCAAGGTCATAGTGACCTTGACCTTTGACCTTGTGACCCCAAAATCAATAGGGGTCTTTTTCCCAATATGGACAATCATCCTATGAAGTTTGAACATTGTGGGTCGAATGGAACTTAAGTTATGCTCCGGAAACCATTTTCAGTTTTAAGGTAATAGTGACCTTGACCTTTGACCTTTTGACCCCAAAATCAATAGGGATCTTCTACCCAATATGGACAATCATCCTATGAAGTTTTAACATTGTGGGCCAAATGGAACTTAAGTTATGCTCCGGAAACCAAATTGCTAACGGACGGACGGACGGACGGACGGACAGACGGACGGACGGACAGACAGACGGACGCCAGGGGGTATAACATAATATGCCCTTTCGGGCATATAAAAAAAGATTTACTGACAATAGATAGAAGCATTAAATACAAGTTTTCAATGCTTTTCAAAGATTGTTGTGTTCAAGTTGAAGAAAATCCATTCAAAAATAACACAGTTATAGCCCCTTTTAGCAAAATCAAGCAAAATTTCGACATTTGACCTTGAAGATCAAGGTCATTTATGAATGTAGGTCAGGTTTAATCTAGTCTGCTTGACGGTCTTGTCCAAAAGTTGTTATGGCCAAGTAAGAAGACAATACACCAATAGCTCATAAAGTTATGATCAAAGTTCAAGTTTGCGGACGGCAATGGAAAAGCTGCCATTGACTGTAACAATACCTCTATTTTTTTCTTCGAAAACAATGCCAAGCTAAAAATGGTGAAAATACACTAATTTGACATTCAAGTTCAAGACCATTATGAGGCAAATTTAATTTCAATTGCTAAATTTGAGCCACAAATCAATCACTAAAGAACAAACATTTTGTCTGATCTATCATATGAAAAAACAATTGATTAAATGCCTTGGAACTACATTTCACTGCAATGAGATACATCTGTCTATTTAGTTTCACTTCAATAGCTCCAATAGGTAGACAGGCAGACAGACAGACAATCTGACTCTAGTATATCCCACTTATCACTGTTGTTGTGTATGGTTTATAAAAATAGAATATATAGAACAAGCTGCTTCCGTATGTTATATAGCACAATTTTGTTTGTTCATTCAACAGTAATTTGCTTGTACTGTTTTACACTAAAATTGCACCTGTGTGAATTAAACAATCACTCTCAACATCTCTCTCTACAGCTATACAGGTACTGTTAATTAACAATTTTTAGCAACCAAATCGAAGTTTCATTAGAATATGCCCATGTTTAATCCAATTATGTTTCTGCCAGTCTGAGTCATTTTCACAGCAGAATCTGAAAATAAATAAGGAATTCATTCAACTTTTTTCATTCTATTATTGGCTTGCATCTATCACTTCACATAATAATCTTTTCAAATTCTGGTACTTAATGTAAGATACAAGTGAATGCCTTTAAAAGACAGATAAATACATGTATAAAAGGCAAACTAGAAAACTTTCAGATGTTATAATAATTAGTCCCAAATTTGTTTGCACAAATTATTGTTTTCATTTTAAGTTCAAAGCCCTTAAAACTATTCAATGTTAACACAAACCATTTTTAAAACAAAGTTCAAGGCACTGAAACTATTCAGTGTTAACCTTTTGTAAAATGCATATTGCATATTTGTAGCCAAAATTATGGCTTCATACATTTCCACAAAAGTATGAGTGCTGAAACATTCAAGAAAAATAACTTTGTCCAAAATCATTGAACCATGACCAAATTCAAACTTTAACTGCTTATTCCTAAGATGTATCTATATGTCAAATTTGAGCTGAATGTGAGAAAATGAACGGAAACTTAAAATATCTGATTTTTATTCAAAATTCAAGAGGGATAACTCTGTCAGCTATCATCAAGCCATGACCAAATTCGAAAATTGACCAATGTATTCTTATGACATATCCATATCTTTAATTTGAGTTGAATAATTGTATAACTGTTGGGGAGATAATGAATTGGAACTGAAAATTTCCTTTTTTTCAAAGTTAAAGGGACATAACTCTGCCAAAAATCATCGAACCATGACCAAATTCGAACTTGACCTGTGCATTTCTTTGATGTATCCATATGTCAAATTTAAGTTGAATGTGTAATACTGTTGGGGAAATTATGGACGGAAACTTCATATTATTTTCAAAGTAAAAGGGGCATAACTCTGCCAAAAATCATCGAACCATGACGAAAATTAAACTTGACCTATATTTTCTCATGACATATCCATATGTCAAATTTGAGTTGAATGTGTAATACCGTTGGGTAGATAATGGAAAGGAAACTGAAAATTTCATATTATTTTCAAAGTAAAAGGGGCATAACTCTGCCAAAAATTATCGAACCATGATTAAATTCAAACTTGACCTGTATTTTCTCATGACATATCCATATGTCATATTTGAGTTGATGTGTAATACCGTTGGGGAAATATGGCGGGGGCATAAAAAAAACAACTTGTTTCTGGTCACAGTCCCCTAAATGAACAGAGTCAGTAGGTAGGGATTTTTCTGGGGGTTGACAGATAAACCGATAACATATATGCAAAGTGCTGCATTAAATATAAATAAATCCCATGTCATTATGACAAATCAGTAAGGGGTAAAATATACAGTCAGTAGGCGAACCAGAAAATAAGAATTTTTTTTTTTGGCCTAAGCAAACTTGAACTATCACAAAATGTGATTAATACACCTGCAAGACTGCTTCGGAAATGAGGAAGTTATAGTAACAGAATACCTTGTAAAAGAATTGAAATAGAGTTATGGTTGTGGGCAATAAAAAGATAGTTGTGGTTTTTGAATGTGGCATTTCCTCACAATAGACCCTTTCATTTAAGACCGTATTCAAGTTGTCGCCCTTAGTGGATGACGTCATTGGGGGATACGGTGGACAATGCCGATACGATTAAGTACAATAATAGAGGGATATAAAGATCTTAATCCTTTCTCTTGTAAGATTGAAATTGCCAAAATTCTGTGTAATTGAATAAGATTTTACATAAAAAGGATGGTGAAATGAATAAAAATGTTTACTATAATAAGGGTAACGATTTGTTTTAATAGTAGACTATATTGCTGGGCAACTGATCATGATTACCATTTTCATTTAGGTAGTTTCAAAAAACGGCTGCGTAATAATTAATTGCAAGATACTGGTTTATTAAAAATCATTTTGATTTAAGCATAACTAAGACAAAGAAAAACAACAATATAAATCTATGTATTTTCAAAACAAAGGGGCCATGATGGCCCTGAGGTCGCTCACCTGTATATAGCCCCCCCCCACAAACCTTTAAGAAGATGTTTCATGCTAAACATCTAAGCTCTAGCACATTGGGCTTTTTAAAAGAAGATTTTTTCAAGTTTTTACTATACACATATAGTGGGTTTTTTCAAAGAAGATTTTAAGTTTTTGCTATACACATATAGGGAAAATCAATGACCCCCCTGGGGTTGGGCCAATTTTGACCCCAGGGCTTTTATTTAAACAAACTTGGTAGACACCCATAAGAAGATGTTTCATGCTAAACATCTAAGCTCTAGCTCATTGGGCTTTTTAAAAGAAGATTTTTTTTAAGTTTTTACTATACACATATAGTTAAAAACAATGACACCCCTGGGGTGGGGCCAGTTTTGACCCCAGTTCTTTTATTTGAACAAACTTTGTAGACACTCACTAGAAGATGTTTCATGCTTAATATCTAAACTCTAGCTATTTGGGTTTTTTCAAAGAATTTTTTTTAAAGTTTTTGCTATGCACATATAATATATCATGGTAATTTTAAAACTGACATAAATATAGTCTGTTCTACCTGTTATGGTCCGGACAAAAGAAAGCAATGGAAAAGTAACAAAGGGCAAGAACTCTGAAATTACTTTAGATAGAGTTATGATTCTTGTGCACTGCACTTCCCCTTATTGTGCTTTACCATTGTAAGAAGTTGTTTTGAATTCCAACAAGTAGCTTTCAAGTTATGCTCCGGACATGGAAAAGTAACAAAGGGCAATAACTCTGTAATTAGAAAAGATAGAGTGATGGTTCTTGTGCACTGCACTTCTGCTCAATGTGCCTGACCATTGTATGAAGTTTTATCACACACCCGTGCCGATTTAGCGACTCTGTAAATATGGTATTGCACGGCCGTGCATATATTTTCATGTGACGTCATTAGCATGTAAAGACGCGCTAAGTGTTTGCGCTACACTATAGGCGCGTCAATGTAAAATGACTCTTATTTCACTTTAAACAGTCTTTCTTTGGTATGTGATAAATAGAATATTTAATTCGTGTATATCCTCTATGTATTGAATTCCAACCATTAGTCAAGTTATGCTCCGGACAAGGAAAATGCAACGGACGTCTGGACCGACAGACCAACCGACCGACCACCGGGTGACTCCTATATACCCCCCAAACTTATGTTTGGGGGTATAAATACTGACAAAATGTGTTAAATAAGGATCATAAAATTTTGTTGCATGTTAAGAATAATTCTTATATTACTTTTATTTTTTGTGTGAGAGGTTCAAAAAAGGAATCCTTTACAGACTGTTGTAAGATGTACTAAGTTCAGACTCACCAACTTTATATAATTATATATTGAGTGCACTGGATTTTGCTGTGATCCAGGGGTAATTATGACAAACAAGAAGTATTTTTAAAAAGATACTTGGACAAGAATGAACTGTTTATTACTCGTCTTTTTGTATGCACTTGTTTTTCTCATCATTTTAGAGTGTCATTTATAACTCAGTAAATTCTAATATTGCATAAGATGTTCACTAAAGAAATAATGAAAATTTTTAAAGCAGTGAAAACTATTTATTGGGAAGTAGTTCACAGATCTCAAGTATCTGAGAAATTAAAACTAGACAAGCATTTTTTAATGACCTCGAAGTGTGACCTTGACCTTTGACCTACAGACCTGGTTCATGTGCATGACACTGCTTCTCATAGTGGTGAACATTTCTATAAAGTTTCATTAGAATCACTCCATATGTGTAGGAGATTATTCTCTGAACAAAAGCAATATAGTTTCTCATCTTGAGTTGCATATATTAACCTAAATTACATGTTTCACACCTGTAGTCATGATAATGACCATTTGTGTTTAAACAAATATAAACAAATATGTTGATGTTTTTTAGAACTGTTTTGTGTGGGACATGACAGTAGCTTTAACTTATTTATTATGAAATTCTATCATGCATGCAGTAGTTAGCACAAGCACACATTTTTTAGCCAGTTTTAAACATTCTTTGTGAAGTTACTTACATTTTCTTTTTTTGCATGGCCTCTGTTTATTATCACCAGTCTTCTCTTACCACATTCCCCTTGCTCACATGCAGTTTTCTGGCTAAGATTATAGACCCTGAAATGTTTAAGCAAAAGCATTACCATTTCTAGTCTAAAAGCCATTATACTAAAACAAGATCCCACTAACTAATTTAGTTATGTTGTTAAAAATAATAGAAAAATTAGAAAGTAAAAACAAGCAATTATAATGGTATTATTATTGCAAGCAATCCATTATAAAAGTCCCCTATCGGTTAGAACCCCAGCAACATTATGATGGGTCATTGGCCATTCAATTATGCCCCTGAATGAATGAATGATATAAATGAACTTAAATCTTTTGAGTTCTTAGTTTGTCTAGCTATATCTTAAGTAATGTGTTAGTTTCCCAGACTGCCTATAAGGAAATCTGTGGAGAAATAAGTAAGTTAAGGAATGAATAAGAAAAATTCAATGTTTAAGGAGGAGATTATTCTGGAAATATGTATGCTAGATTTATAACCCTTGTCATAAGATGTGGGTGTTTGAAGTAAATGCTATAAGGAATGAAAAAATTTAAGTAAAAAATAATAATTTCTAGAAAAAAATCTAAGTGGGACATAATACTGGAAATAGTCAAGCTAGAATATTGAACCTTCTCACACAAAGTCATAATTTGAGTGATAATAAGAAACATATGTATGAGGTTTGAAGTAGAAACATAAATATACATGTATAAAGAAGTTATAAAAAACATCATTTTTTCATGAACATTCTAAGGTCAAGGGGGGTTACATTCTGACATTTTTTGTGCTAAAGTTGTCAACCTTGTCACATATGATGAGGTTGATGATCAGAAACATATATTTGAAGTTTGGAGTATTAATACCTTACGAAATAAAGAACTTATAGTGAAAAAGCGTAAAGACTTGAATAGGAGAAATCTTGACAGCTCTCAATTAATTCTCCCTTAAATATAGTCAAGATTAAAATGATGTGTATAATCTCCATACTGCTATCTATCCATATTTTAAGTTTCATAATATGTTTTCATTTCAGGTGGCACGATAGCTCAGTTGGTTAGACCACTGACTGTCACTCCTGAGGTTCCAGGTTCGATCCTGGGTAACACCCTTGGGATTTTTCAGAAACACTTTCAGTGTTTCCCACCTACCTAGAGGTTTACGTTAAAGAAGCCCAGTTTATCCTTGCACATATCAGTGCTATACACTGGGCATGTAAAAGAAACAAGGAATCTATTCAATAAGAGCTAGGGACTGGTTCTTGGACTCACTTGTATCTCATAGCTGTCTCTATAGTCTGGTGAGGTAAGGACCCTACTGGAAATAAGTGCTTACACTTTCGTAGGTTATCCTTGATCACACAGTCTAAAGAAAATCAATCAATCAATCAATCAGCACTTTTTGAGTAATCACAATTTTTGTTAAATTTGCCATATTTTAAGCCTATTTGTTGCCATAGTAACCAAATTTTTCAACATAGGAAGAACAGAAGACGTGCATAATTTCCATACTACCATCTACCCATAATTCAATGTTCATAAAAATACTTTCAGTACTTTTGGCATTATCACTGGATCCAATTTATGTGTTAAATTAGTTATATTTTCAGACTATTTGTTGCCATAGCAACCAAATTTTTCAACATAGGAAAAAATAGAAAAAGACATGCAATTAATTATCTTCAGACTGCCATCTTACCCTATATCAAGTTTCATAAAAATATTTTCAATACTTTTTGTGTTATCTCAGGATTCAGTTTTGTGAACGGACTGCAGACGGACGGACAGACAGACGGAGGGAGAGTAAACCTCAAGTCCCCTCTAGTTAAACTGGTAGGGGACTAACAAATGATTATTGAATGCTTAAAGGGTACTATTAGCTTTGGATTGTTTGGGTAACCTTATAACACCTCATTACTGCATGGTCATGCTGTGTTGTAATTTACTCTGAGTTGACCATCAAAGCACTTTAACCTTAATAATTACCTGTGGATTGAAAATTGATCCATTAGTTGAATCAAAAATCAAACATTAAGGAATTGTTACTTTAATAACAAGGAGCTACATGAAAGAGATCATTTCTAGTTTAGATTCTACAGTAAAACCTTAAATGAGCCGTGTCATGACAAAACCAACATAATGGGTTTGCGACCAGCATGGATCCAGACCAGCCTGCGTATCCGCGCAGTATGATCAGTGCCTGCTGCACAGTAAATGGGCCAATTTTGTTAGCATCTAAGTCAAAAAATAAAGTTAAACATACAAGACAATATTTGCTCTTGTTAAGTACCTTAGGGTGTCTATAACAATATTTTTAGAAAGAAAGGATAACTTTTAGGATACCTTTTTCAAAATATTACATTTCTTGCGGACTGTGTGGGTAGGGGACGGATGTTACAAAGATGTACTAAAAGTCTGAATATCTTACAGTTTATAATAAAAATTGTATTATTTCTCTTTATTTTATTAAAATATTATGTGTTCTGATTAATGTTACAAAAAAAATCCAGAAAATTAATCTTAGATAATATTAGAGTATTTTTCACACAAAATGAAATTTTCAAACATGTTAGAAACAGAGAGAAATAAAACAAGGATAGGTACACCAAATCATATTTAAATCAAATATGCAAACACATTTCTTATAAACCAGTAGAAATTATAGGACTTTCTTATGTATATTTTTTGTCAGATAACCCAAAAATGAATTGTATCAGGGGGACGGATGTTACATTTTGGGGGGGACGGATGTTTACTAGATGTTTCAAGCTCATAGTTCATACTCTTTTTTGGTTTTATTTTAATGTAATATAATTTATAAAAGTATATGCTTTGTACAGTACAATAAATGTAAAATAATTGAATAAATTATGAGAAAAATGTAGAAATATACCCAACAATTATGGAGTTTCTTACTATTTGCGTTTCACAATTTATCTTACATTTGAATGAACATTTAAATGTTTGAAATAAAATAAAAACATTGCTAATTAAATAAAAGAATCTTTGTTTCCAGATAATGCATTAACGTTAAAGAGAGAATGTCATATCAACGTTTCCTTTATGATACTTGAAATTATTTACAAAATACTTAAGTTAAATAATAAGATTTATATTTGTAAAAGATATGATACAGTGTGAAGTAAATAAGTTTTCAGAATGAAACGTATGCAAGCTTATTGAAGCTTATAGAATTTCTCATTACTAAATACATAAATTATACACAATTAAAAATTTTCATTAAAAATTATAAGATTTTAAATTGCTGCAATTAAGTTCTATCGATTTGATGAAATTTTAAGTAAATTAATGGGGAATGTTAGCAGCATTATCAAAAAATTTCATTATGATTCAGTATCATAATCTCATTATTTCTAACTTTTAATAATTCTCTGTGTATATATTTCAGTGTACATGAACTGCTTAACTTTTTGAACTAATTTGTCATTCAATAAAATTTATAGGTGCAATATAATTTGCGAAGGGTTTATTTACAGAATAATTTTCACAATTATTCCAACTTTTTCATTACAGGAATCCTTACCATATCCTTTACTTACAAGTTTCTTTCACTTTATTAACAATAATTAAATGGGTCAAATTGTATGAAAATGGTAATCCCCCCCCACTGTTTTTAAGCATAATATATATCACCCTAAGGGCTTAATTGGCACCCCTACTGTTTTGTAATATATCACACTTCCAAATATACAATCTACGCAGCTCCCAATATACAGCTCATAAACTTCCAATAAAGTGCCAGCCCCTTCTGTGTGTATAGAGTTAGGATCCATATCCCACTGTTTTATGAGGGGCTGGGATACATGGTTTGTTGGTTTGTTAACTATTTAAGGCTAAAGAATTTATGTTTTAACAATTGACCAATTTTAATCACAAAGATACTTTTAACATCTCTATCGTTTGCACCTCTTTCTATATAATTATCCTGTTATGGATTTTGTGTTTGTTTCTTCTATATTTTTTAAATGGTATTTTATTTGTTGTGTGAAACATTCCTATACAGTTGCAAAGCTTACTACTTCTCTATCATGCATCATAAGAACAAGATAAGTTTCGTACTACTGTAAAAAGAATTTTTAGTTCAATTCTGTAACATCCGTCCCCTTCTGTACCCTTAGTTTATAAACACAGAATAACAAAAGATTATATTTGTTATAAATTCATATAAACTTAAATATTATCTTAATAAACGCATAGGTCCACTTGATGTTAAAAAAATAAAAAAATAAATTTTTTTATTTCAAATTAAATATTCTCTTTTTCAGAGCAAAAAATACTGATTTTTTTTTTCAAAATTAAGGAATTTAGTGTTCACAAATACTTTTTTTTATAAATACATCATTTCAGTGCTTTATTTCTGTTACTTCTTCATTTTTCATTGTAACTTTGGTGCTTTAGTGTAAAATTTGCTTTTCAGTTACAGTTTATGTATTAATTAATTAATTAATCAACATAGTGTAAAACCAGAGAGTTCATGAACTGATCATCAACAAGAGTTGGCAAACAAACGTACAGTGAGGAAAATAATGCAAGGAAACCTAATACTCGCTTACTCAAGTTACTGGTGTCAATATTGAAATTCTTAAACACTGTTTCACACAAAATATTCCCTAATTTTTTTGGTACTTAAAGATGGTTCAAGCACATTGCTTTAAAAAATTATACATACCTTAGAAACTCTATTTCATGTGAGTCCCACTCCCATCCATAAAATTCTCTTCAATTATTGACCTTTACTGAAATATTTTATTGTATTTCGGTCTGAATCCCTGTTTTGAAGTCATAGCTGTCTGTCACTGTTCAAAGTATTTACTGTGATAAGACTATAAGACATTTGAGCCACTACATCTTTCTGAAAAATTAAGGCCAGTAGATCTATATCTAAATCAAAGTATTAAAAAAAGAACAATTAATATTACAAAAAAAATGGATTCGTTTTTATTTAAATATTTTGGTATTAGATCTATATTGCAATTTTCATGAATAACAAGATTAAACATATTTTAGGTAAAATCAATTGGACAACTCACCAATTCTATCTATAAAAAATCTACTTGTAAAATGACAAAATTTAAAAAGTTATCAGAATCTATAGATATGTACAGTAGTCAGTAAATTTACTCACCTAGTCTTTAAGAAACAACCCGCAAGTCTACAGCAACTCTAAACGAGACCTCTTGTAAGATCACATTAATTTACCCGTTTAAACCTCAGCTTTGCGTGTCTTTAAACTACACAGGCACACGCTCGAAGTTCAAAGAGTTTCAGCGGCAACGGACAAATCTACGCTTACACGGGGGAGTCAGGTACTCCGTATGCAAGACACAATTTTCGTGACAGCATTTTCGTTTATCTGTGACTTAAAATATCTTTTGTCCCAGGTTTTATAGAATAATTAAATTATCCTTTCCATCAATTATGAATAATTGAAATGTTGATTCATCAGAAATATCATTAAAACGTTTACACACTGTCATCGGACTGGACACCACTTCAATGGCGTGAAAATGAAGTCGTCCAATTTTGCGTCATCAACTGCGTTGACCCCGTTGTGTGATTACCTCTGTGTATTCGGTCATCAAAAAAGATTATGTGTCGGAGAAAACAAACTTCATAAGGGATATTTGTGATGTGGAAGGGGAAATGAACGAATACGGATACATTTTGTAGCTTTTGGTGAGTTTTTTGTTGTTGTTAGAATCTAGTCTACTGTACAGTAACTAAGAAAAATCAGGCTGGAAATGAAGAACTTTTAAGACTTTATTGAAACTGGTTCTTGAAAATTTTCTAACTTTGAAATATCTGGGTAGATTTTGCTTATATTTCTCCAAGTCAGTAAAATCTGTGTCAAAATATTTTCAAAGTGCAAATATTCCTGCCTCCACCCCGTCTTTTACCAAAATGAAGACGATGTCAGGGTAGAAAAAACTTGAATTACCATGTGAGATTTCTTGAAAATTCAGGGTCTATTTCACCCTGATTTTGCCAATTCTGGTTCAAAACAGGCCTGAATCGGTCCTGTTTTTCATAAAAGCCATGCTGATTTTTGTATAGGTAGTGACCTTCCGCCCTGTCCCAAAATATGGTCCGCCTAGTCTCGAGTCACGGTCCGCCCTGTCTCGTGGTCTGCCCTGTCCTGCAGGCCCGCCGCCACCCCCCTAGCCCAACAAATTGTGCGCTTTAGGGCTTTTTCTTATATAGATGATGGTCGCCCTTGACACATCTATGAAATTTCAGAATATAAAATCGGTCTGTCTTGCAGTCGAAATATTGAGACTACCCCCCCCCCCCCCCCCTTCCCTACCATTTCAACATTTCTATATAGTCTAGCTATTCATAACAACAACAACATGACACTATTACACAATTTTCATTACACCAATTTTTAAGTACAACAGTTCGATCTACATTTCAATAGAGGTAAGACAGTAAGACAGTAAGACAAACTTTATTTATAGTCGGTTATGATTTACAGTACAAAACATAAGCTTTAAGCTTGTATCCGACATGAACAAAATATAGAAAATAATAATAAGAAACAAAGAAACAAAAACAAACAGACACCATAAGATAATAATACAGACAATTAATTTATATAGTCATTGTAATGAAATCTGAGCATTTACAATGAAAATACAGTCATATCTATTAACAGGGTTTTACATATATACAGATACATAGTACATAATTCAAGGAAAAGACTAAATTTATT